AATCAGTACCAAATTATTGGTTAAGATAGAACAAGCCTAGAATACAAAAGAAATTGCATCCTACATTCACAAAACCTATAACAGCGGGCATAATTATATGTAGTTACAAGCACATCAAGAATTACAAACCTCGGAGAAAGTCCCCGTTAATTTGTTTAAAAGTGTTGATTTCCCAACTGAAGGGAAACCCACAAGATCCACTCTCGCATCACCACTTTTTGTGTCATCAAAACCTTCTCCAGCACCACCACCTCCCTTTGATGATGGTGCAAGAAGCTCCCTCAGAAGTTTTGCAAGTTTAACCTACCATCAAATGATTAGTAACAAAAAATCAATTTGGCTGGATACATTAAATGAATACAACTGTCAGCATAAAAAAGGAAGTAAAATAGGAAGAAATTATTGTATTCAATTCATTGGAATCCCATAAACAAGTTAACAAAGGTTCTCTAGTGTCCAAAACATGGTTTTACCTTGCTAGAAAGATTTGACAACAATAAAACAAGGCAAAGGGGAAAAGTTAGTTCAGTGTGGAAAACAAAATGATATGCATATCCAATTTTAGAAAAAAATCATCTTACAGCAAAAGTACAGGCATGACGAAGTATACCTTCAGCAAGCCCAAGTGACATGCAGTTGCTTTGTTCTTCTGGGTCTTCGCCATCTGTGATAGGCAGAAAATGGATCAGTTTGACAAACTCAGAATTCTCTTTCATATCAAACAGGAGATAGATATAAAGAATAGCTCAAACTTCACTCATCAAGGTGTAAATCATAAATATCAAAATTGCGATCTAACGATCCAGATCAAATGCAGAATTTGCAATTTGAGTGGATTGCAGTAGAATCGTAACAGGATCATGTAAGATCGTACAGAAATCGGACAACAAATAAACTAATATCCCTTCTTTGCTCTATTGCCTCACGGTCTCAACATGATGGTTGTAAAAATATTCCTTTCTTCTTTCTTCTCGGTTGCAAGTATTTTTACCGTAATTAAAAGAATCTCCAACATATGTTTTCCTTGTCAATTCAGATAAAACAAGTTTATGTCCGCTTAGTGTTTGCTGGTTAAACAAAGGCAAGATCTAAAGTCTTTCATCAAGGTAGTCCATTTGAACTTCATTTGATGTGAAATATTTACGGTAATTTTCTCAACTTTTACTAATGAAGAACTCCAAATCATACATAGATACATGTAAATTCAATAAGTACTGCAAACTCAATTTAGTTTTTTATATTGTGAAATAGTCATAAAAATTTGTTGACTATGAAAGCAAGGACTGAAGTTAGCTACCTCATTTCTGATTTTCATAATGAAAACTTGTTTTTATTGCTTGCCTTTAGTAGTTATTTAGTATATGTTGTTAATTTTTTTAAAAACATTTTTTTTTTAATAAATATTTTAAATCATTTTTTAGTAGAATCTTAATATCCTCAAACCAATCCACAAGACTCATCCACCATTTTTTTAAAAATACAATTATGATAATCTTGGTGTAAATATCCAAACATTGATCAGGAAAGAGAGATCCCAAACCTCTAAACCCATTTTATAAAATGTTCCATGATAGCTACAAAAAAAATCGCCAGCTAAATTATCACTAAAAAGAATACTTCCAACAACTAGAAAAATAAAAAGAATGTTGTTAAAATCCAGCAATTAGTTGTATTTGCATACAAAAAAAAGAAAAGAAAAGAAAGAAAATACCAGGAAAACATTTAACATCATTTTTGAATATTTTCAATTTCGGCTCTTTTTGGCTACAATCCAAATATACCCAACGTCCTTCTGTGTTTTCCTTTTTCCTTCACAAAATTACTACTTAAAAACATTGTTCTTCGTTTTGCATTTCTTATCGTTACAGTGAAACAACAAGAATCAATTAAAACTTAATCCTGCTAAAAAATTTCAACATAAACAGCATCAGAAACAATAAAAAGGCAACTTTTCTTGATTCGTGAGTATTACCTCATCTTCGATATCTTTGATTTTCTGCATGACAGTCGCCATTGTTTCGGGGTTGAAAGAGAGAACCTCTAAAACTACGACGTAAAAACTGAACTGGAACTTGTTCCGCAGAAGGAGTATTCTAGAAAGTCGAAATTCTTCCGGTTGATATCGGGTATGCCGGCGGATCGATCTGTGCTGAATTCGGGTCCGGGGCCTTTTTTTTTATAAATTAAATTATATTACGATCCATTCCATTTTTCTCTCTCTCCTATTTTTAATCACACAATCTTTCATAAAATAATATTACACGTAAATCGAAAACTTTTCTTTCTTTTTCAACCACTCATTTTTCTAAAAAATATTATTCCCCCATTTTCATTTTCAGTTAATGGACATCAAACATGAGCTTAGATTTTGTTTCGTCGCTTGGTCACGTAGTCGGGAGCCTCACGGACTCGCAGTAGCACAGGAATGGCTTTCTATGAAGGAGTTGATTGTTACAATAGTCACTATACTTAAAATCCATGTTTTTGATGTCTTTGATTTGCAGAAATTTAAAATGTCGAGTTTTGGTCACTAAATTAAGGTTTATATCTTTGATTGTTCATTGAACTTAGATTCATATCTTCGATTGCTTATCGAAGTTTAAAATGTCAAGTTTTGACCACTGAACTTTGAAATATACCGTACCTTACTCACTAGCATAACTGTTGAAATTTTAAAAAATATCGAATTTACAGTAAGTAATGTACAACATTTTTCAAAATTCAGTGAGTAATGTACAATATTTTTCAAAGTTCAGTGGTCAAAACTTGATATTTTAAATTTCAGTGAGTAATCGAAGACATAAACCTAAATTCAATGACCATTGTAACAATTAACTATTCTATGAAGTCTAAAAAGACAGTCTTGATCACCGAACTTCAAATGAACTTTCAATTTTGTCATTGAATTTGAAGAAAAAAATTCATTTTGGTCACTAAACTTAAATTTGTTTCACTTTAGTCAATGAACTTATATTTCATTTCATTTTATCATCACCGTACGTGTCATCTCTAGATGTTATGGAAATGCACGAAAGGCATCTAAGTCCAATATTAAGCTTGTCAAGGCCGACCTAGAGAAAGCAATGAAAGAGGTCAAGGACCTCAAGGTGAAGAGGGACCAAGCTCAGTATAAGGCAGCCAAAGAATTTAACGCCTTGATGGAGTTTGACAATCTCAAAGGCAACTATGCTACAAGTTCTTATGACTTTATTGAATTCAAAATAAGGTCCGACAGCACGGAGATCAGTTGATTCAAACATGCATAGGCTTAGATTTAAGGAAGATCCCGATCTTAACATGAGGCATGAATTAGGTTACGCCATGAATTAGGTTACGCACACACAATGTGCATCTTAATTTCATGCATGAGGCATGGTTAACTTTTTACACTTGAGGTGAAACTTGGTTGCATGCTCCAAGGCATGGCTAACTTTGAGCACTTGATCATCAAAATGGATCGATAAGTAAATGCTCAATACGAGATCCTAATCTACTCACTTACTTCTTGAACGGTTCTGATTAGTTAAATAATACATACTTCATAATAAAAGAATAAAAATTTATTTTAAGAAATGTTGTATTCAAAATAAAATGATTAAGGGACAGTTATGAGGTTTTTGTGGCATAAAACCAAACCAATGTCGTTGTGGCTTGGAAGCACAAGTCGGATGTGCTTCTAAAGGAAAATCATGTCTTTGCAATTGTATATATAATAAATTTTACCTTTTCTTCTTCTAACTCTTTCTTATCCAAGATTTATAAGGACCTACAATCTTTATTTTACTAAATCTTCCCTATTTTTTTCTCTTGATTTACGGTTAGGGTTTGTTCGAGAGAGAATAGATTTTTTAATAGTAATTTTTTGAAGAATGTGCAACTAAAAATTAGAGAAAAGATTTGGATTTACGAGTAAAATTATTTTATTAAGAATACGTGCTTAGAAATGAGTTTGGAGAAAAATGAATTTTTAAAGGATGAGGCTCAAACACGCCTAGGATGATCTATGTGTTTTATTCCTCTTTTGGTTGCCAAAATTTTCAATCACTTATAACTAAAATAGCTTTGCTATATATACTCAGAGTTTGACACTCCGAATTACTTGCTACTCACATGGATAATGTGTGAGTCTGACCCCCTCACTTACATCGGGTAAACCGACGTGTCAAACGCCAGGTACAAAAAGTATTTTTGTAACTATATATATACACACACACACAATGACGCTACTTTCAATAAATAATTACTACTTTATTGAAAGTAAATCATTAACTATTACTATTTATCACGTATTGTTTATTAAAATAATTTGTAAGCTTCCCTTTAAATCAGTATAAAATTGAAAAATAAATAAACAAATAAAATTTTGGGATCATTACAATTTTCCCTCCTTTTAAGAATTCGTCGGACTATTAAATTATTCGTAAAACTAATTGAACAATTAATGGTATTTGCTTAAAATGTCATATTATTATTCCCTATCTTGCTTTTTCTACTACTTTGCTGTCCACAATACTTTTACTAGTGGAATTTGTTCATTTGGTAGGTACTTTTACTTCTTATCGAACCTTATCATTTGTTTGATTGGCAAGATCTTTATAAATACTTTATCTTCTATGTTGAATTTCAAAGGTCGCCTTCGACAGTTTGCATAACTCTTTTGACGCCTTTTAAGCGGTAGACATTCTCTATTTGATGACTTCTGCTACTTGCTTGCATCATTTATAGTCCCAAAAGTTGATTTTGTCTTATTTCATCCCAATGGAGCGGTGATCGACATTTTCATCCATATAGAACTTCAAATGGTGGCATTCCAATAGAAGAGTGGTAACTATTGTATTACAAAATTCATCGTAGTTTTTTGGTGTTTGGGGAAATTGAAATTCATCGAGATTTATCCCACTTCCATTCTATTATTGACAAATGGTTTCTAATAGTCAAGTTGACCTCTGATGTTTAGCGTTTACTTGTTGACATATAGTCGGCATTTTCATTCATGGCCACCAATAAAAGGTTTTAATTCTTGACATGTTTACGTTGCACAAGGATGTACTGAATAAAGGTATTGTGTGTTTTTCTCTTTTGGAACATATAACTTTTCTATGTCTTTCGTAATGCCGTAAGTAAAAAAATTCTATTCTTTTGTCGATCCATGTTCAGTTTCCTCCTTGATTTTGTGATAATAATTGTCATTTTTTATTTTTTATTTATTTATTTAATTTTGCTAGACTATGATGCAATCCCTAATTGTAGACTTCAACGTTGATAATAAAAGTTGTATGTCTCCATGTGGTACACTTTCCAATTTAAAAATTTGCATTTAAACTTTTAGCCTTTCATGTCAGGATCCTTTAGAGGTTGAGGACATTTTTTGTATTAGGACATTTGCCATGACATTTTCTTTGATGTGATGATAGTTGATGGTACAAAATCTTTGACTGTCTACAGCCACCATTTTCTTCTCGCGTTTAATTCTTATTGAGGGAAAGTACTTTAAGCTCTTGTGATCCATAAAAATTTCACGTTTTTTGCTATACAAATAATGCCCCCAAAATTTTAGGGCAAAGATAATGGCCGCCAATTCAAGGTCGTGTGTTGAGTAATTCTTTTCATATGGCTTAAGCGACGAGATGCATATGGAAAAAAATATTTCCATTAGTATGCTACCTAGCCCAGTAGCCCTTTTTTATGCATAATTGTAGATAGTGAACCACACGTTTCGAATTGATAGAATGGGTGTAATAGTGAACTTTTTCTTCAATTCTAGGAAGCTCTTTCAGCATTCTTCAGTCCATTTGAAAGGAATATTCTCCCGAGTAAGTTGGTTAAGAGGACAACTATCCTAGAGAATCCTTCTACGAAACTTTGATAATACATTAATACCTAGCCAATCCTAGAAAACTTACTATTTCAATGACGTACTTTTTTCAGTGTCAGTTCATTACTATCTCAACTTTACTTGGTACTACTGAAATTCTATTTTTTGATATGATATGCCAAAAAGTTTACTTCCTCTAGCCAAAAATAAAATGTTGAAATTTGGCATATAACTTTTCTTCCCTTAACGTTTGTAGCACCACACTTAGGTGCTATTCATGTTCTTCTTTTGGAAGTAGATGAGTATGTAGTCCTTGAATATAATCACAAATCTATCTAAATACTTCTTGAAGATGCGATTCATCAAATTCATGAATGCAGCGTGGATGTTGGTCAATCCAAATGACATCACCAAGAATTCATAATCGTAGAGATAGAAGCAGAAATTGGAATGTCTTCTTTCTTAATCTTCAACACCTAATATCCTTATAGTAGGTCAATTTTTCAGAAAACATATGCTATTTGCAGTGGGATAAATAGGCCATCGATCCTTGAAAGAGTATATTTATTTTTTATGGTTCTCAATAATATATGCAAAGTCACATTAAAATATCTTTCTTTTACAAATAACGCAGTCGCCCAATTTATATCTTGCTTCAACTTAAATTCTCACAAGACAAGATCATAGGTTTGAATATCGAGAAATAAGTAAAAAATTCTTGTGAAACAATGTAGACGCAAGCACTTCAAAAGCAGATAGTACGTAAGAATACAACTTGGGCACAAGGCCGAGTCATTAAAAAAGTGTTCGATTGATTTATTGAGAACCTAGTAGTTAATGTTTTTTTATAAGGATTAACTTTAGAGGAAACAATCGGTTGCCTACAATTATTTTTTACGATCGATTAAGGTTGCTCAACAATGTTATTTTAGATGTCGATTATTGGGTTGATTGGCATTTAACTTTGAGTTCATGAGAAATTTTCAATAGTAACTCTATCCACTAGATTTAGAAAGATGACTTCAGTCCTTACTGCAAGGCTAACCTCCTCATTCCTAACAAATTTATATTTTTGTTCTTTGTATTCACACAACTTATTTATGGCGCAAAGGCTTTGAAATTCCTAATTATAATCTCCAACTTTCCTCTGATGATGCTTGCAATTAATTATGATATTTCTAATACAATATCTAAGTTTATGGTTCATAAAATCTCCTGTTTCGACCAACATGCCCGTTTTCCCCATAATTTCAATGGTTATCACCCTCATCTAATTCAGAGTCTACTGAGAATGGAATGTATCTTCCCACTAACAATTAAGCACATTGTGTGAAATTACATGTAGTGTGATTCA